GATAAAATTAAAATAAGCTGAAAATGACATTTCATATCTATCTAGTTAAAGGGACTCAACTGAAGCTTATTGACTTGACGGTACGAATTTTTTTAACCTTATGATGAAAGTCTGCAAATTGTCAGGTGAAGCATTGCAACGTTCATTAATCAAATTGGGCCATAAGTCACACACACAAATGGAATATTCAATTTTATTCTGAGCATATATTTTTAATTTCCTTTACAGATTTTCCATGCACTTACTTCACTTGATCGATGAGAAATGACCTTTAAACAGAGAGAATGGTTATTGAGATAAGATATAACACAGGATCATATTCAAAAATTGTTTATATGCACATACACATGTTAAATGTTTCTTTTGCGAGACAAATACATTAAATAAGGGGAAAAAAACAATATATGACATAGATCAACTATATAAAAAGGATAAATCGTATCCTTATAAGTAGTATAGGGGTCGGTTTGGGGGCACGACTGCGCATGCGCGGCGCCATATTGGATTCTATTTTTAGAATGACATCATCGTTCTATATTTAGAAATTCATTTTTAATCTCCCGGAAGTATACGGAGCTGACTTGTATACACGATCTTAGGGCTTGAATCGCGGACATTGAAGGTCAGGTCCTCGGCCCTAGACGGGGAGATAATCACCATTATTATAACTACAGATAACCTTTGTATAAATACGTGCTTAACTACACATATCAATTAATAAAATCATTGTTCGAATAAAGTAGTCTCTTAACAAATGCAAACGGTTTAGTTATATTTCTAATTAGTATTAAAAACTGACTAAATATTAATATATTATTTTTAATGTGTTTTTCTATAAACATTCCAAATTAAAGAAAATACATTAGTAATAAGATATAATTGAAAACTGACTGACTAATTGACTCTCTATAATACTATAAACAAGACAATTAATTTATTACTTTAAATTTGTTAATTTTTAACATATAACAAAATATATGAAATTTATTTTCAATTTAATTCGATATTATGACTCTGTCAAATAATGTTTCTATATAAAATAATAATAAGGACATTTACTGTAAAATAATTTAATAAATATCTGCGTAAAATACATACATACGATGTTGACTCCTCGGCGGTCCGAATCCAAATGACACAAATCATCAGTGTATTATTTCTAAATGCTCTGATCACGAGTGTAAAGTCGCCACAATGTATGGCGTGTGTTTATTTAGGGACGGAAACACTAACAGTGGCCTATTGAAATGTTAAAGTTAATCACTTTAAAGTAGCCACTCGGTCTGGCGTATGTTTATTTAGGGACGGATATGCGGACAATGCTCAGTTTAACTGTCAAAGTTTACCCGTCTTAAGTAAAAGCGGGTAAGCAATAAGCTATTGAAGTGTCAGTTTACCACTGGGGCATAATTTTAAACTCATTTTCGAAAAGAAATGCCAACATGTTTTGAAAACTGATCATCACGAATGTGCAAAATTATAAAAAAAACAACAACTATAATTAATGTTAACTAAAACCGAACAAAAATACAACAGAAAAAGTGTTTGTCGTCTTTTGTGCAACATTTTACGATATACATTTTGATTTTTTTCGCATCAAATGATAGACCTGACAGAATGCTTCAAAATAAACCCTAGGTTCTCGATTCGATTTTTAGCCGTTCTCGAGTTATGGCCAATTAGCGATTTTTAAACCAATTTTTCAAATTTCATAAAACCCTTAGATTTATATGCCGTTTGAAAGATCTCTGCGAGTAGATACAGAAAATGTATTATTATATGGATCTATCTCTTACTATTTCTGAGATAGGAGAGTTTGAATATGGCAGACAAAATCACTCATGCGGAAAAACGCGCATAACATTTTCGTTTATGAACGAAACATAGTCGTGTTTGGTATCAAATTGAAGGTCTTGACGAGTACATTCAGACGCTATTGATAATAAAGTTTATACTGGATGTCAAAATCACTCATGCGTAAAAAATATATATATTGGTTACTAGAGCAACCGAATACGATATGATTTTTAATTGTTGACTACCAATTGAAAGAACAGTTCAAAACCTTTAATTTACACCCCCATTGTCGATTCGATTTTCAACTGTTACAGAGTTATTACGTAACAGCGATTTTTAAACCCTAAATTGCGAAAGTCAATGAAAAAAGTTACAACTGTTTACCAATCGATTCGTCTCGTCGCGCTGATTAAGAAAATATATAGTTTTATGGGTTTATCTTTTACCGTTTTTGAGTAATTCGAGTTTAAACTCACCGGAAGTGACGTCACAGAAATTTCAAAATCGATTTCTTCGTTATTACTTGACCGAATATATACGTGTTTGGTATCGTTGGAAAGCATTTTACCACACCTGTTACCTGACGCTTTTCAAAAAGCCATTGGACCAGAACTGAAATCACTGAAGCGTAAAAACGTGTTTTCTGTACCACGCCTGGACCGATCTAAGGCTTGTTTGGTATCAAATGAAATGTCTTAAGCCGCTCTTTATGAATACGGACTAAAATCGAAATTAAAATCACTCATGCGTAAAAATCATTAAAATAACTAAAATAAGCTTACTCCCAGTCGGAGAGATTACATGAATTAAGAGTGTAATTCTTTTAGTCACCGCCACCGCCGCTGCCGCCGCCACCGCCACCACGTGACGTCATGCTGAGACATCAACGTTATGTACATGGGAGTGATGACACTGTTGAAAATTCATCTTTTCTGAAGTGTCCCTATGAGTGATTTGTTGCGATAAAGAATCACTTCATCTTTTCTGAAGTGTCCCTATGAGTGATTTGTTGCGATAAAGAATCACTATTCATCTTTTCTGAAGTGTCCCTATGAGTGATTTGTTGCGATAAAGAATCACTTAGTATAGGGGCCGGTTTGGCCCCAAGACTGCGCATGTGCGGTGGCCATTTTGTTTTCTATTAATAGTAACTCATTTGCTTAGAAGAAATGACCTTACTTCACATGCACGGCGACCGTGTTGAATAACAGACGCGCGGCGACCATTTTGGATTCTTTTTTTAAGAATGACATCATCACGTTATAAATAGAAATAATATCTCCCGGAAGTATACGGAGCTGACTCGTATACCCGATCTTAGGGCGTGAATCGCGGACATTGAAGGTCAGGTCCTCGGCCCTAGACGGGGAGATAATCACCATTATTATAACTAGAGATAACCTTTGTATAAATACGTGCTTAACTACACATATCAATTAATAAAATAATTGTTCGAATAAAGAAGAGTCTCTTAAAAAAATACAAACGGCTTGATTTTATTTTTAATATGTTAATAATAAATTCTTATTTTATACATTCAATAAAAAAATATTACTTGTTGACTCCTCGGCGACCCGACTCCAAATGACACAAATCATCAGTGTATTATTTCTAAATGCTCTGATCACGAGTGTAAAGTCGCCACAATGTACGGTGTGTGTTTATTTAGGGACGGAAACACTAACAATGGCCTATTGAAATGTTAAAGTTAATCCCTTTAAAGTAGCCACTCGGTCTAGCGTATGTTTATTTATGGACGGATATGCGGACAATGCTCCATTCAACTGTCAAAGTTTATCCGTCTAAAGTAAAAGCGGGTAAGCAATAAGCTATTGAAGTGTCAGTTTACCACTGGAGCATAATTTTAAACTCATTTTCGAAAAGAAATGCCAACATGTTTTGAAAACTGATCATCACGAATGTGCAAAATTATAAAAAAAAACTATATTAATGTTAACTAAAACCGAACAAAAAAAAAAAACAACAGAAAAAGCGTTTTTCTTCTTTTGTGCAACATTTTACGATATACATTTTGAATTTTTTCGCATCAAATGATAGACCTGACAGAATGCTTCAAAATAAACCCTAGGTTCTTGATTCGATTTTTAGCCGTTCTCGAGTTATGGCCAATTAGCGATTTTTAAACAAATTTTTCAAAGTTCATAAAACCCTTAGATTTATATGCCGTTTGAAAGATCTCTGCGAGTAGATACAGAAAATGTATTATTATATGGATCTATCTCTTACTATTTTTGAGATAGGAGAGTTTGAATATGGCAGACAAAATCACTCATGCGGAAAAACGCGCATAACTTTTTCGTTTATGAACGAAACATAGTCGTGTTTGGTATCAAATTGAAGGTCTTGACGAGTACATTTTAGTCACGCGATCAAACCGGATGTCAATTCACTCGTGCGTGAAATCCATTTTTTCTCCTCAACCAACGGACCGATCTTATCAATACCTGTATCGAACGAATGGTATTACTCACTAGATTCAGAAAATGTATACTTTTGTATCGCTGACTCGGATAGGGACCGAGAAATGAAGTAAAATCACTCCAGCTTAAAATGTGGATTTACACCTTTATTAGTCAATATAACCCAGTCATGTTTGGTATCGTACGAAAATGTTTTAAGGCGCTCTTTATGAATGCGGACTAAAAATCACTAGTGCATAAACGCTCTATTTCTATTAAACATTCTTCATTGATAATACTGTACTTGAAAATATAAACTCAACTTACTGCGTTAATGATGTTAACTCCAAAACGTCCAATCACCAAATGACTGAAGTCACCACTGCGATACATAATACGCATGCGCTGATCTAAATTTTAGAAATGACATTGTCCCAATATAAAAGCAGTTTTCTCTTTTCTTTCGGACTGAATGTAACCAATCAGACAGAAGGATTATTTGACCAATTATTTTGGTCACGTGACTATTAATAAATAAATAGATGGATAACGTCATGCCAAAAGTAGCAGCCAATCAGATTTTAATACGTATGTATAAAAAAGAATATGTTTTTCTGCGTATATTTCATAAACATGTATGACTGGAAACAGGATATGTCTTCTATTTATCTCTTGCTCCTCCACCACCGCCGCCGCCGCCACCACCACCACCGCCACCGCCACCACCACAACCACCACCTCAACCGCCACCCTCAACCACTCACCTCCACCGCCACCACCACCTCAACCACCACCACACACCTCCACTACACCTCCACCACCATCACCACCTCCACCACCACCACCACCACCATCAACACCGCCCACCACAATCACACCACCACCACCATCAACACTGCCACCACCTCCAACGCCACCACCACCACCATCACACCACGACCACACCACACCACCAACACCGCCACCACCTCCCTAGCCACTACCGCCACCACCACCATCACACCACCACCGCCATCAACACCACCACCACCATCACACCACCACCATCATCAACACCGCCACCATCTCCCACGCCATCACCACCACCATCACACCACCACCAACACACCACCACCACCAACACCGCCACCACCATTACCATCAACACCGCCACCACCATCAACACCGCCACCACCTCCCACGCCACTACCGCCACCTTCTCACCACCGCCACCACCACCATCACCACGACCAGGTGGCGATGACGATGGTTGGGGTTGCGGCGGTGGCGGTGGTGTGAGGGTGGTGGTGGTGGTGGCGTGGGAGGTGGTGGCGGTGTTGATGGTGGTGTGATGGTGGTGGCAGTGTTGGTGGTGGTGTTGGTGGTGGTGTGATGGTGGTGGTGATGGCGTGGGAGATGGTGGCGGTGTTGATGATGGTGGTGGTGTGATGGTGGTGGTGGTGTTGATGGTGGTGGTGGTGTGATGGTGGGGGTGGCGGTGTTGAAAAGGTGGCGGTAGTGGCTAGGGAGGTGGTGGCGGTGTTGGTGTGGTGGTGTTGGTGGTGTTGGTCGTGGTGTGATGGTGGTGGTGGTGGCGTGGGAGGTGGTGGCAGTGTTGATGGTGTGACGGTGGTGGCGGTGTTGATGGTGGTGGTGGTGTGATGGTGGTGGTGGTGGTGGTAGTGGAGGTGGTGGAGGTGGTGGTGGTGGTTGAGGTGGCGGTGGCGGTGGTGGTGGCGGTGGTGGCGGCGGCGGTGGTGTAGGAGCAAGTGATAAATAGAAGACAGATCCTGTTTCCAGTCATACATGTTTATGAAATATACGCAGAAAAACATATTCTTTTTTTATACATACGTATTAAAATCTGATTGGCTGCTACTTTTGGCATGACGTTATCCATCTATTTATGTTATTAATAGTCACGTGACCAAAATAATTGGTCAAATAATCCTTCTGTCTGATTGGTTACATTCAGTCCGAAAGAAAAGAGAAACTGCTTTTATATTGGACAATGTCATTTCTAAATTTAGATCAGCGCATGCGTATTATGTATCGCAGTGGTGACTTCAGTCATTTGGTGATTGGACGTTTTGGAGTTAACATCATTAACGCAGTAAGTTGAGTTTATATTTCAAGTACAGTATTTTCAATGAAGAATGTTTAATAGAAATAGAGCGTTTGTGCACTAGTGATTTTTAGTCCGCATTCATAAAGAGCGCCTTAAAACATTTTCGTACGATACCAAACATGACTGGGTTATATTGACTAATAAAGGTGTAAATCCACATTTTACGCTGGAGTGATTTTACTTCATTTCTCGGTCCCTATCCGAGTCAGCGATACAAAAGTATACATTTTCTGAATCTAGTGAGTAATACCTTTCGTTCGATACAGGTATTGATAAGATCGGTCCGTTGGTTGAGGAGAAAAAATGGATTTCATGCACGAGTGAATTGACATCCGGTTTGATCGCGTGACTAAAATGTACTCGTCAAGACCTTCAATTTGATACCAAACACGACTATGTTTCGTTCATAAACGAAAAAGTTATGCGCGTTTTTCCGCATGAGTGATTTTGTCTGCCATATTCAAACTCTCCTATCTCAAAAATAGTAAGAGATAGATCCATATAATAATACATTTTCTGTATCTACTCGCATAGATCTTTCAAACGGCATATAAATCTAAGGGTTTTATGAACTTTGAAAAATTTGTTTAAAAATCGCTAATTGGCCATAACTCGAGAACGGCTAAAAATCGAATCAAGAACCTAGGGTTTATTTTGAAGCATTCTGTCAGGTCTATCATTTGATGCGAAAAAATTCAAAATGTTTATCGTAAAATGTTGCACAAAAGACGAAAAACGCGTTTTCTGTTGTTTTTTTGTTCGGTTTTAGTTAACATTAATATAGTTTTTTTTATAATTTTGCACATTCGTGATGATCAGTTTTCAAAACATGTTGGCATCTCTTTTCGAAAATGAGTTTAAAATTATGCTCCAGTGGTAAACTGACACTTCAATAGCTTATTGCTTACCCGCTTTTACTTTAGACGGATAAACTTTGACAGTTGAATGGAGCATTGTCCGCATATCCGTCCATAAATAAACATACGCTAGACCGAGTGGCTACTTTAAAGGGATTAACTTTAACATTTCAATAGGCCATTGTTAGTGTTTCCGTCCCTAAATAAACACACGCCGTACATTGTGGCGACTTTACACTCGTGATCAGAGCATTTAGAAATAATACACTGATGATTTGTGTCATTTGGAGTCGGGTCGCCGAGGAGTCAACAAGTAATATTTTTTATTGAATGTATAAATAAGAATTTATTATTAACATATTAAAAATAAAATCAAGCCGTTTGCATTTTTTAAGCGACTCTACTTTATTCGAACAATGATTTTATTAATTAATATGTGTAGTTAAGCACGTATTTATACAAACGTTATCTCTAGTTATAATAATTGTGATTATCTCCCCGTCTAGGGCCGAGGACCTGACCTTCAATGTCCGCGATTCACGCCCTAAGATCGTGTATACGAGTCAGCTCCGTATACTTCCGGGAGATATTATTTCTATTTATAACGTGATGATGTCATTCTTAAAAAAAGAATCCAAAATGGTCGCCGCGCGTCTGTTATTCAACACGGTCGCCGTGCATGTGAAGTAAGGTCATTTCTTCTAAGCAAATGAGTTACTATTAATAGAAAACACAATGGCCGCCGCGCATGCGCAGTCTTGGGGCCAAACCGGCCCCTATACTACTCTTATAGAGTATTTAAAGCAGAAATATGCATATCATGTGAAAAAACTCTAAAACAAAGCCTTTGAAGTAAGGATATTTTTGCGCATGTTTACAAAAAACTTTCATTTCAAATTGAACTTATGTATGTCGCTTTTTCTAAATTCACTAAAGAATATTTACAAAACATATAATACATATGAATGAATATTTAAACATATTCAAAAGAAATGAGAACTTCATTATATTTATATGCTAGTTAATGAGCAATGCATCTTAATCATTAGTTAGCTTAATTGTGTTAACAATTATTCAAATGGAATGAAATTCTGTTATGTACAGCAAACGCTTTTATTGAAAATTACTGAATGTATGAAGATTTAAAATACTACAGATAACATAATCATAAAGTAGCCTAGTTACTATAACACGTATAAATCTGAAAACAATTTATTTGTATTATAACATGACCTTCTGTGCATTTTTACAACAGAAAATGATTATCGTTTGAATGTTACATGATTTTTACCAGTAGAACTTTGCCATTTCACTTTCACGGAGCATTAATAAGATGTATCTGTTATTCAAATCGCACTTAGCAGCTAATTGATTGTTATTTTAATTGTATAAACATCGGTATCATTCAGCTATGTCTTTGTTACATCTGCAATCAAATGCTTGTACTGTTAAAGAAGCATAAAACTCATTTCATTCAAAACTATCCTTATATATTTTTCTTCTATTGTTTTGTTCTAATAAAATGCCAAAATATATCAAGCAAATTACACCAATTCATTTTTTTCAGGTTATAAATAAATACATGTTCGCCCTTTTAATACGGTGGCATAAAGGTGACATGTGTGTATTTTTGTTTCTCTCGTGGCCACGAGATACTATGTCGTGGCCACGAGTTACTAAGTCGTGGCAACGAGATAGCTAAGTCGTGGCCACGAGATACAATGTCGTGGCCACGAGATACTATGTCGTGGCCACGAGTTACTTAGTCGTGGCCACGAGATAGCAACGTCGTGGCCACGAGATACTATCTCGTGGCCACGAGTTACTAAGTCGTGGCCACGAGATAGCTAAGTCGTTGCAACGAGATAATTAACCAATCAGAGTACACTATATATATATTTATTTTTTAAAACTTAACAACTTACTTTTACATGCAACATTAATCTTTGAAAATACTGAAGATTGTCTTAAGGGTCATATTAGAAAGTCACCTTCCAAGGTCCATCAGACATTAATTTTGGCTGTAGCTCTTTGTTGGGACAATTTTGTGATCGAATTGGTCGGTTTGTGCGTAATTCAGCATGTTAACCTTGTTTATACGATAACATGAGAAGGAATAAGTCCTGGTTTATTTTATTTGGAAGGGACATTGCCCATGGACAGTAGATAGCATATAAGGTAACATCCTTGTCTGATGAATAATTTAGAAGGGATAAGCCATGGTTTATCCATAACCCAGAATGATCATTGCACCTGATCAGTAGATGACATCTAATAATTTCGAGGTCATTGGGTCAAAAATCAGGGTATCTCGTGGCCACGACTAAGCTATCTCGTGGCTACGACTTAGTATCTCGTGGCCACGACTCAGTAACTCGTGGCCACGACATAGTAACTCGTGGCCACGACATAGTATCTTGTGGCCACAACATCGCTATCTCGTGGCCACGACTAAGTTCCTCGTGGCCACGACTTAGTTCCTCGTGGCCACGACTTAGTACCTCGTGGCCACGACATAGTATCTCGTGGCCACGACTTAGCTATCTCGTGGCCACGACATAGTATCACGTGGCCACGACTTAGCTATCTCGTGGTCACGACGTAGTAACTCGTGGCCACGACTTAGCAATCTCGTGGCCACGACTTAGTAACTCGTGGCCACGACATAATATCTCGTGGCCACGAGATAAATAAAAACACACACATGTTACCTTTGTGCCACCGTACATGATGGCAGTGGTTAGATAAGCATTGAGAAAAGAATGAATATATTCAAACATACACAAACATTCATTATTAAATTGTGTTAAGTATGTCTACCAATATCTGAACACACCGGCTTCTGATAAGTCATTAAGATGAAACAAGATCTAACATTTACATATTCAGTAATATAGATAATCTTATTTTCTTTGAAGTGTTCATTTCAGACACCTTAAATTTATAAGCCTGTGCATTCAAATATTGTTTTTTATGTGTTTCTCCAACAAAGTAACTGTATATAATAATTTCAAAAGTATAAAAGACAATAATTTTCTTCATAATTTGTTCACAAATAAATGCAAAAAAAGGATTATAATACAAGGATGACATAACAGCTGTTTACATTATGCTTTACCACTTTATATTAACAGGCTGCAAGAAAATAGTGATTAAAATGTCAAAATAGTTGGTCATGGTCAGTGTTGTTTTTGGAGACAATAGATACAATGGACAAACAAACACAAAAATAATATTTATACAGGTCCAATTATTCCTATCAATGTATAATAAATTTCATTCTTCAAATGCAAGTTTATGAGCAGATCGTCTAAATCCTATTAGTGATTATTGAAATTAACATACAACAAATAGTTTTCAATATAAAATCCTTTATTTAATATTATAACTTCATAAGTATTAACTTTGGGCATAGTATCTAAAGTGCGAAAGAATGTAACAATACTGACTATACAGGCGTTCTCTTGCTTTACTTTTTTCATATCTACTTTTAAATATTAATAACATAATAGTCATGAGGACTCTCAATAATGTTTTTATAACTTTTGGGTCAATCCTTGTATATGTACATTAATGTAGTTATGTATAATTGTTAATTATTTTTTTAATTTATATACATATAATTTCACACACGCACGCACGCACCCGTACATATTAAAATATGATTAAACAAAATTGAACTAGAAATGTGTCATCTTACCACGGATGCCCCCGCATGAAGCCAAAATTCAGATGTTATAATATTTAGTTCCAAATTTGTTTGCACAAACTATTTTTTTTCATTTTCAGTTCAAAGCCCTTTAAACTTTTCAATGTATACACAAACCATTTTTATACATATTCAAAGCACTAAAATTATTCAGTCTTAACCTCTTGTAAATTGCATATTGCATATTTGCAGCCAAACTAATGGCTACATACATTTCCACAAAAGTATGAGTGCTGAAACTGAAAATTCAAATTTTTTCCAACATTCAGGAAAGATAAGTTTGCCCAAAATCGTTGAACCACGACCAAATTCAAACTTAAACTTCTTATTCCTAAGATGTATATATATGTTAAATTTGAGTTGAAAGTGTACAACCATTGGGGAGATAATGAACAGAAACTTTTTTTTTTCAAAATTCAAGAGGGATAACTGTCAGCTATCATCAAACCATGACCAAATTCGAAATTGACCAATGTATTCTTATGACATATCCATATCTTTAATTTGAGTTGAATATGTACAACTGTTGGGGAGATAATGAATGGGAAATGAAAATTTCCTTTTTTTCAAAGTTCAAGGGGCATTACTCTGCCAAAAATCATCAAACCATGACAAAATTCAAACCTGACCTGCGCTTTTCTTTAACATATCCATATGTCAAAATTGAGTTGAATATGTAACACTGTTGGGGAGATAATGAACAGAAACTGTAAATTTCATATTATTTTCAAAGTGAAAGGGGCATTACTCTGCCAAAAATCATTGAACCATGACCAAATTCAATCTTGGCCTGCGCATTCCATTGACATATCCATACATCAAATTAGTGTTGAATGTGTAATACTGTTGGGGAGATAATGAACAGAAACTGTAAATTTCATATTATTTTCAAAGTGAAAGGGGCATTACTCTGCCAAAAATAATTGAACCATAATCAAATTCGAACTCGGCCTGCGCATTCCATTGACATATCCATATGTCAAATTTGAGTTGAATGTGTAATACTGTTGGGGAGATAATAAACGGAAACAGAAAATTTCATATTATTTTCAAAGTAAAAGGGGCATAACTCTGCCAAAAATCATTGAACCATGACCAAATTCGAACTTGACCTGCGCATTCCTTTAAAGTATCCATATGTCAAGTTTGATCTGAATGTGTTGTACCGTTGGGGAGATACTGAACGGAAACTGAAAATTTCATATTATTTTCAAAGTTAAAGGGGCATAACTCTGCCAAAAATCCCAAAACCAAGACCAAATTCAAACTTGACCTGTATTTTCTCATGACATATCCATATGTCAAGTTTAAGTTAAATGTGTGGTACCGTTGGGGAGATAATGAACCGAACCTGAAAAATTCATATAAGTTTCAAAGTAAAAGGGGCATAATTCTGCCAAAAACCATCGAACCATGACCAAATTCGAACTTGACCTGTATTTTCTCATAACATATCTATATGTCAAATTTGAGTTTAATGTGTGCAACCGTTATTAAGATAATGAACGGAAACTGAAGATGACGGAATGACAGAATGACGGAAGGGCGGAACAGGGTAACACTATATGCCCCGGCCATTATATGGCGGGGGCATAAAATACACATAATTACTTGAAGGCCAGTCATAAGTTTACCTTCGGACAAATCATTCCATAAATAATTGAAACACATATCATCTTTAACACTAAGGGCCCTGAGCCAAGTTCAGCTTATCATACATAAGACATATGTGTATTTATGTGGCAGGAGACCAAATAAACTTGCAGAAATATCAAGAGGCACCAGGCTAGCCATAGACTGATTAGACAGTTGTATTTGTTGTCTAGCAATTAATAATCAAAATTTGTTTTAAAAAATTGATATAACTTATATGCGGGGCTTTGTTAATCAAATTACTAAAGATTTTACATATACCAATTGAAACAGTATCAAACAAAGAATTTTGATCTAAACTGTATTCAAAACTTGTTTGAATAAAGCCTTATGAACACTAAAAAATTTGTCATTAGCAATCAAAGTAACGAGCACATAACAAAAATTTACTAAAAGTATTTGTGTACTATCATATCATAATATACACCAATGTGTTCTTGTCTATTACTCAATTTACATATCATTTGGTTTTATTACATCTATTCAAAGATATATTCCATTTTAAACAATTAGCATGTCGTTAGTCCTAATAAAATTTGCAACCCGTCTACAGTTTATGAAAATAAAACTGTTTCATCAGCCAAAAGTAACAAAATTTGAAATTCATTTACAGATATTACGCCTGCATGGCTATCAATTTTTTTATTACCTATCATGAATGAACAATATGAACAACAGGGGAGATATTAGTTTAACTTCACTTTAACTATCAAAATAGTTAAGGTTAACTTAACACCCCAGTTAAATTATCATTAGAGTGGACAAATACCGGTACCTTGGAAGCATTTTATTAAAACACAGAGTATATCTTTATCTCATTTCCATCCAAACCAACAAATAGTTGTTTGGTATCATTACAAAATGCTAAGCATTTTGGGTTAGGTTCTTTGTCCGAAATTAGCTCATGTCGTTTTCTTCCATTAGCTTGCTCTTTGTTTAAATTGACTAAATCTATTTCATGGTAGAATGAATCACAATAGTACAAAAGACCTGTTTTGTCTATCGCCATGCCTGTTACTTCATCTCGACATGAACTTAATTTACCAAGCGTTGTGAAGTTATCACTTGATAATTCTACAATATCATTACCGCTAGCGTTATCCGAAATATATGTCCTTGATTCATCTTCATAACAGACAACATATTGCGGATTGTTGACATCGACACCAACCGATAACAGTAATGAACCATCTAACTTATACCGCTCAACTTTTGTTGTCTCATCATCTGTCTTGACGATAACAATGACCGTATCATTAGAACTGGTTATCCCATAGCATTTGCCTGAGCATGTTATACGACAATTGTCTTGTTCTCTAGTTAATTCGGAAGTACCGTCGATAGATAGTAATTCAACTATTTCCAGGTCTGGGAATGTAACAGCTATTCGACGGTTGGATACACATGTAACATCCCATGGTGCTGATTCATATTCTATTTTTGACACTAACTTATCTTCTTCTATATGAAATAATTTCAATTTCAAATTGTTATTATCAGCCAAAACAATACGTGTTTTTGCTAATAATGCAATTCCTGTTATGCAGCAGTTTTCCTCATCGTCGTCGTCTTTGACGTGCAAACTTCTAGCTTTTCTAGCTGATTTTATTACATTAGAATCTGATTGTATTGAACCAAAACTACTTTGTTGAGACTTCATGTTATCTAGTTCACCAGCCGGCTTAAAATGATATCTAGTAATATTATAATGTTCAATGCATTTTACTTTCGTCAAATCCCGTAAATTTGACCTAATCTTTACATCGATATTTTTCATTGCAATGAATAATTGGTTTCCACTGGATTTCTTCTTTCCGCTTAAGTAAGTACCTATTGTTCTCATGTCAAATGCTATAGCATCGCATTTATTTTTGTACTGCATGATTCTTTCTAAATCCTCTACTCTCATTCTGTTTACTTCTTTAGCAAGTTCTTTATATTTACATTCTATATGATCAATGGCAGAATGTTTCACTTCCAACATTTCAGATTGAGCTTTACTATGGTAAATGTCAACGGCTTTTAGGCTTGAATTGACACGGTCCATTATTTTATCTACTTCGTCAGCTAGTTGTCGCATTTTACATTCTATTTCATTTGCCTCTCGTTGAAAGTCGAAAGTATAAAGGTAATCTTTAATATTTCGAACATCTTCACAGGTCTTATGATTTGTAGCTAAGCATTGCGGACAGCAAAGCTCTTCGTGTGTTACACAATAATTATCAATCACTTGATCCCCGTGAGCAAGGCATTTTTCTGGCGGATCCGTGTCTGTTGTGTTTGACATGCGTTCTAAAGGCATTTCATCCTGTAGTTTCACCAAATGTGTTTTCGTTGCTTTTAATTGTTTATGAACATTGTGGCAATTCTGACACAAATATTCATTGCAGTATCGACAGTAACTTACGGCAGAAGATAATTTATGTTCATCCCCAGTCTTACATGGGTCACAAAATATATCTAATGCTAGTTCCCTTTTTTCCGATTTCTTTGAAGTCGCCATCAAGGGTATACAACAGGCAAGAATTTTATTTCAAGTGAAGTGCTGATCAACAAGGATATCCATCAATAAAGATGAAACTGTTGAGTGGTGAAAGGACAGTTAGATCTTAACTTCGTTGGGATTGCTGTATCTAAGAAAAGTTATACGATATATTGTATTCTGCGGTTGTCTGCTCTTGTTCCATTGCATTTGTTCTGGAATAAACAAAACTCGGTTGTACAGTTAAAAGTTTAGACAAATAAGTCATTAATAATAAACTGTTTGTGCATTGTTATCCATAATCCTAGTTATATTAAGGACAAGCACTCGACATCCGATTGCTGTATGTCAACAGAAATTGCCTAAATTGTGTCTATATTTGGGAAAACCTTATTCCCTTTATAACAGGGTATCACGATGAAAAAGTTACAAGTATTCATTGTATCATAGTTTGGGGACCTTTCTGTTGAAAAAGTGTCAGAGTTAAATCGTATACATATACATGAACAGTGCGGTAACTGGAGTGCAGGTATCAGTTACCCGCACTCCAGATCATGCCCGTTGATTGGCTCATTTTTGCTGGGGTTTACATATTGTGACGGCAGAGAAAGGGAAAGCGGCAGAAATATCATATTCAGATGCTCGATCATTGGTTACTTTTTCCCGGGGTTTAAAATTGTGACAACATGTTTTTATGTTTGACTATGATACAAAAGAGAAAGAACACCAAAACACTCGGCAATCTGATTTATACACGGGGGCTACGCCCCCTCGTACAAATCAGATAGCCTCGTGTTTCGGTGCTCTTTCTATTACTTACTTTGCATAAAACATGAAGGCTACAGATACATTTTGATATCTATAAATGTCTTAAAAATTTTCTTATATTTTTAACTTGAATTTTCTTTTTACGAAAAACTTTTTATTTTCATGTGTACGTAAAGTCTTAACTAAGTCGACATTTGTATAATACTCAAATTTTTTCTCTTTTTTTCTGAGCTAATTTTTGTGAGATTTCTAATAATTTCAGAACACTTTATTGGTCTATTCAAAACGAGAGTAAATGTTTGCGTTCAAAACAATTATACAATTATGCAAGAGAATTGTAGCTTATGCCCCATTTCTCTCCCCGAATGGGAGGTTTGGATTATCAAACATCTGGTAAATGCCAGATCTAAAGGGTAGACAGACTTGCATTGCTAGGTTATGTATTATACATGTTTTTAGTCGCAGAGATCAAAGTGTTCTTTACTTTTGACCCACTGACCTCATAATCAATAGGGATCATTACTGGTCATGACCAACCTCCATACTAAATATGAAGACAGTGGGCTATAGGAGTTTTAACTAATTCAGGGCAGACAAGCTTAACCAAACAGACAGAAAAGCTGGTTCCAGTATGTCTTCCTTACAACTTTGTTGTGAGGGGGAATCGGTAATGACCAAAATGCAGGGGTATTGGTCATGATCAACCTCTATGTCAAATATAAAGACTGTGGGCCGCATCATTCTTAAGCCACTAAAAGGAAAATTTTTTAGACTCAAGGCCCCTGTGTCCTTGACCTCTAACGTGGAAATCAATACACTGTGGACAGGCACTCTTAAGCATTTGAACACACAATCTTATTGTAGTAAAAGCTCACGTGACCTTGCTTTTTGACACAGTCCCCTTAAAAATCAATAGCGATCATCTACTAGTCATTACCAACCTCAATATAACAAATATGAAGACTTTTGACCAAAGCATTAGTAAGCAATTAAGCGGACAAGCTTTTAAAAGTAAAGGCCCCAGAAACCTTGACCTTTTGACCAAGTGACTTCAAAATCAATAGGGGTCGCCTGATGGTCATGATCAACCTCCATGCAAAATATGAAGACTGTGGGAAGGATTGTTAAGCTTTTGGGCGGACAAGCGTTTTGAAGTTAAGGATTTTTTTGACTTCCGGTCAAAATGGCGATCAGTCAATATTTACGTGGCTAACATCAAAAGTTATGTTTTAGTAAACACATAGTGATTTTTGTGGGAGGAATATATGCAGAAGGTACAGGATTTACATTTTATCGAATATGATAACCCTGCAAACTTAATAAATAACAATATAGACTGAAAGTTTATGTAGTAATTTACAATCAACTGATATCTATTTTGATAAATTGCACGTGAAGCGTAGCCGACCAGTCACGTGACGCTCAATGAACTTTCAAGTATACTGCTCAACTTTATAAACGCATACACATGAGTAATACGCCAGCGCAGAGAGATCGTAAGAGAGATCTATCATCACCTGACACAAACCTTGAAAGCAACGAAAAATCTCAAAAGGTATTAGATATATCACCTAATAAATCATTCGAACTGTCTTCAATACCGGAATTAACAATGAGTAAAACCAAGTTGGATGATAATTCTCTAGAACTTCTAGCAGACAAACTTGAATATAGAATTAAACATGCCTTGGAATCTACACTTCATTCATCAATTCAAACAATAGTTGATGGTGTTATATCGGGTCTCACGACAAAAATAAACTCATTAGAAACTGAAAATGCTACCCTCAGAAAGGATATCGTAAGTCTTGAAAAGAGAGTACAAACTCTCGAAACTCAACGTGATGCCGACAACCAGTACAGCAAACGTAATTTTCTTAGAATTTCTGGTGTTGAGGAAAGTACAGGAGAAAATCCAGATTCCCTCGTGATGAACATTTGTAACACCCTTAAGACTGGTCTGAGTCTTGATGATATTGACCGGTGCCATAGAGTAGGTAAACCTAAAGAAAACGGATCACGAGACATACTTGTAAAATTTATTTCATACAGAACCCGCCAGAAGCTATACATTAAACGAACCGATCTAAAAAAAACCGAGCATGGATTACGCGGCACATACATTAACGAGCATCTGACCCAGAAACGTTCCAAATTGCTTTTTGAAGCCAGAAAACTAGCAGGTAATGGAAAGGTCCTAGGTGCATGGTCAGCGGACGGTACGATACTCGTCAAGATATTATCATCGGGCGCAAATCCAAGTGATGACAATCCTTGTACTGAACTTATCCGCATCAAAACCAGCGACGACTTAGCAGCTTTTCACTGATAATTATAAACTTTTGCTAAACAGTGTACTATACGTAGTATATCGTAGTAACTAGTATATACCGACTGTGACTTTCTCATACCTGATAACCATTGAAGCATATCACTTTAGAAAAGTGTCCACCTAATTATATCATTGTATGCTTCATACTGTAATATGCTGTCAATATTCACTTATTATTATTAGTAAACCGTTTTACTTTTGGTAATGCGTTGATATATCCTTGTTTATAAACATGCGAGAAACAAGATTGTAAATGTTAATTCTTTAACAGAATTTAAAACACCTTGCAATGTATATGTTATGAATGTTTACTAAAATATTTTTCACACACTTGTATATTAAACTTGAGCATTCATATAAGTATCTTAGTTTAATACTGCGAAAATTATCGCAGATATGTAAATTTCATCTTCTTATTATAAATAAATATTTAAAATTTACAACTTAAGCTATAGGAAACCTAATTGATTGATACTTTTTTGCGTGATTTTACTATTTCTTGCTACAGTTAAACTTATACGAGTTGTTTTTGCTAGCATCATACATTACTTAATTAAATGATATTTGATAGTGTTGTATGTCATTAATGTGTGACAACATGTTACTTTAATTGATGCTATTAGATGGTGTATTATTAAAATACAAGTGTTTATAAGTATGCTCTAAGTTAAATATGTAAATATAACCGTCACCTCTCCCATCGTCAGACTGGCCATGAGGCTGACTCGGCGTAATTTGGCCTGGCTGTGGAAACGTACTTTTCTATACTTGCATGTATATACCTATACTGTTATATATTTACTCATACACCTTTGACGCGGCTTAAGAAGTCTGTTTACTGGTGTTATGTACATAAATGTATGATTGATAATATCGTATTTTTTGTTGTAACTGTCTCTTTTTTGTAAGTGTATGCATACTAAAAATATTTATATTTATGCAATTTCAACTTGATGTTATAAAGCCTGATATCATTTGTGTAACAGACAAATATAATTACGGGAAAACATTATACTTTGCACGTGCGTACATATCAATACTGGTGTACATGTATTTACATAAAATCTGGTGACAGGACCAGTGGCTAAACTTCACACTATATATGTTTGCACCAAAAGATGTAGTTGCGGATCTCAAATTATTTAATGGTTTACAAGACAAATAATTAATTACAATTTATTGAGTTTTCCCTTTTTCTACTTATTTTGTTCATTACATACATATTAAATTATTTAATAGTTTACAAGACAAATAATTAATTACAATTTATTGAGATCTCCCTTTTTCTACTTATTTTGTTCATTACATACATATTAAATTATTTAATGGTTTACAAGACAAATAATTATTGACAATTTATTGAGATCTCCTTTTTTCTACTTATTTTGTTCATTACATACATATTAAATTATTCAATGGTCTTCAAGACAAATAATTATTGACAATTTATTGAGATATCCTTTTTTTCTACTTATTTTGTTCATTACATACATATTAAATTACTTAATGGTTTACAAGGCAAATAATTATTGACAATTTATTGAAATCTCCTTTTTTCTACTTATTTTGTTCATTACATACATATTAAATTATTCAATGGTTTTCAAGACAAATAATTATTGACAATTACTTGAGATCTTCTGTTCATTACATTTATATACGCTTTCTTTCCAATTATTTATTATTAAAATATAACTGCACATTAATAACTTTAAAATGAATCTCTTAGTTCTTTTGTCATATTATTCTTTCTCACACGAATCACACTTACACATTATGACTTATTTTAATTTTCTTTTTTACTTTTTCTTTTTTTACTCCTCAAAGACCGACTTGATTTATCCTTTACTCTCGATAGTTATTTCAATGTCCATTATTTACATAAATGAACTTTCTGTGATGACTGGTGTGTCTTGTATGTGTTTTGAACAAGGTATAACATGAAGATGAAACCATTGGCCAAACCAGTCATCATAAATTCGTTCAAACTTAACTCACATTGGCGATTCTATGTAATATTTATAGTTCTTATATACCTACACCTATCAATACTATCTTCCATGTCGATAATGCAATCTCTACTCACTCATCAGAACGAAATATTAAACTGTGCAT